TGCCGAAATCGTGGCATATCTCCCAGCTTTGCACTGCCAGGCTGCTCGATGATGAAGGCATGTCCCAAGGATGCCAGGAGGAGCGCCAGCAGGACCACCCTGCATTAGCTATGTTGTGGTCACCGTTTACAATGCAGGAAAACTGTGTCAGAATAAAGCAAAGACTGCTTTGGTATTCCCCCGCCCCACCCAGCCCCACCTGTTCGCTAATAAATTTCCGACACGAACAGCCTCTCTTGACACATCGCCAAGAGGGCAATACCACTCTCTCTGGCTCTGCGCTGAGCACATCCATGAGAAAGAGCTGCACACCGGGGCCATGAGGCAGAGACTGTTTGGATGCAATTTCAGCACCCCAAGAATGGCCAGCCTTGGGCACAAACCAAAGCACAGACACAGCATGAGACAAGGGAAACGAAGAGAGAGAGAGAGAGAGTGAGAGAGTGAGAGAGAGAGAGAAACAGAGAGAGCAAGAGACAGGGAAGGAGAGAGATATATAAATAGACAGACGGAGCAGAAAACCAGAAAAGGAGAGAGGCTGGCTGAGAGAGGATGAGGATGAGTCAGAAATTAATGTGTGTTTCCACATATATATATATATATATATATATATTTGTACAGTGTCACGAATGCGTATATAATGTGTCTATTACTTATACATACACATATGTATACAATAGCATATATATATATATATGTATAAACATATGTATGTAATATATATATATATATATATATATATATACATACATACCTGATGTGCCCCCCAGCTGCGCAAAGCCACTGCTCGTGCACATGTCGTTGTAGCGGAAACCAGCATAGGAAAGGTCCATCTTGAAACATGGGAAACCCGACAACTTCATAGAGCGTGTCACATTAGCCTCGCCAGCAAACAACTCCCCGAACCGGTAAGCCTCAGCTGCACTTTGCCTACAGGACAAGCTACATTTGGGAGATGCTCTTCAAGCTACCCACCGTTTTCTTGCAGCCCATGGGGCGAAGCTGGCGTCGATGGTTTGGATGTGCAGCAGCAGGAGGACACAAACACAAAGAACCTCGGCTACCCAACGTCATCTACCAAAGCCCTCACCAACCCTGAGTCAGTAGTACAAAACTTCATTCAGGTCACATAGGGTACATTGCCACAGTAGAGTCGACGAGCCAAGATCGTAGGATCCCAACGATCTGCTGGGCCATCCATGGCTCAGACACCCTATACAGAAGCCCCCAATCAAACATGCCACGTACAGCCCGCACATCGTGCACAGCACCATCATATGTGTTGAGACACAAAGGCCTGAGCCATTTCTGACGACAGGCATGAGGACATTCACGTCGAAGTCACAGTGAAATATGGCTGTGTCTGTTTGTGTCTGAACACGCACTACACACATGGAGATGTGTATATAAAATGTACAGCTAGAAAAACGACTCATTGGGCAGCGTTGCTCCTGTGCTATGCGCTAGAATGACATGTAACGCTGCTATGACTGGCAAATGTGCACTGAAAAAAGGATTGCTCTATGGTGACCCATACATGCATGCATGTACATTTATGTATATGGAGCCAGGTGTGTTGTGCCTATAGATATATATTGTGTAATTAGCTTAAACATAAGATGTATTATGGTCACAGAAGTCATGAACAGCTCCTGCCAATCTAGTTGAATGTAGATTTAACATTGGACTCTATAAACCATCTCCTGACTGCTGATTGGCATTCGGAATCCACTGTATCGCTTCTTGCAGTTTTCCTTGCACCCCATGATCCTATAGATTCTTATCGAGGGATATCTCGCCAAAAGGTGGTCCAATACATCTGTTCGATAGATGTATTTGTATGATACATAGCGATGAACATCTATATACTCTATACACCCCAGAACATCAGACAGAAGCTGCAAGCAACCCGCCTCCGTCCTCAGGAGTTGAATCCAGCAGGCGCTTTGAACCACGTGGCATTGCAGGCCTTGGCGACAAATATGAATGTGTACAACTTCAGAGGATACAGCCGTGGCTGAAGGGATCTGAATGCAAGGGTCTTGGGACATTGGATGCTTGCATACTCTTTTTGAATGCGCACACACTGCTGCAATCATGGTTCTCCCAGATGACACAACTCTAATGAGCTGCCCTATGGCCGCTGATGAATCGCCGCCCGGCAGCATCAGATTGTGCACATTCCCATGAAGAGTGTTCTCACTCCCCCAAAATCACACCGACAGGCACGTCGGTCCATCCCTAGATGCGACCCTCACACTCGCGCTCCAGTTGCGAGCTTCGATCCCTGATTCGATGCATCATGTCCTGCCGCACAAGCTCCATGGTGGATCTCTGCATCAGATCAGCCTTAGTTGAGCAGGCCGCGTCAATCTGGAAGTATTTATTATACACATTCTCCATCTCTCTCTCTCTCTCTCTCTCTCTCTCTCTCTCTCTCTGTCTCTCTCTCTCTCTCTCTCTCTCTGTCTCTCTCTCTCTCTCTCTCTCTCTCTCTCCCCATACTTTGCCTGTCTGGGAGATTCGTATATAGTCGAACAGAGCCTACATAAATTGATAGTCAGATTCCTCATGTGGCGGATATATGCATCTGTATATACATATGTAAGATATAGATATAGGTATAGATATAGATATAGATAGATATATATATATATATATGTATGTACACATATCTATATATATATATATGTATGTACACATCTATATATATATATATATATACATGTACATGTACATCTATGTATATCCACCAGATGAGGAATCTGCCTACCCATATATCACACACACGGCTATTCAGGGGCCTTGTTAGAATATCGGCATGGAACTACACCTTTGGTCTTCATACCTTTCATTGAGTAATGGAGACAGAGTCGTACATAGTACACACCTGCAGGCGGTCCAGTGTTGTGCTTGGGTGCCCTGTTCTACATGATCCTGTATTTGTTTTGTCTGAATGTAGCTTGATATAGACATATGTACATATAGTACTTATGCATGGTCACTAATTATTTTCTGCACCGGTCAACCAAACCTACATGATGCACACATGTTACTCCCTGTACAAGAGATGCTTGAAAGCTTAAGAACAGAGAACTCGTAATTACCAAGACAGGGAAAGGCTGTGATATTTTTTTATTGCCAATGTGGCAGTGAAGCTAGAAAAAATCTAGATAAGTCTGCAGCACTATAGGAAGGTTCGATTGACAAATTGGGTACTCAAGCCAAGCCATTAGTTCAGTGTAGCGACAACCTCAGCACAGAGGCGGATGCCAGCCTCGAAGGATGTACAGGTCGTCAGGTAGGCACTTTTGCCAGATCGTGTGCGAACACCGACTTGGTGGCGTGTCCAATACACCTCGATCTTGTAATCCTTCTGATGCACGACGAAGCGCCTCAAATTTTACAGAAGCATGATTTGGCAGCAGACACGGACCCATACAAACACACGAGTTCTCCATGTGCGAATCAAAGGGCTCCCTGAGATCGGCCCTCTGCGCCTTTGTGGGACCACGTTCGTGCTCCGCTGTTGGATCCTCAGCCGTGTGCTCAGGCACAGGCTCAGTCACTGGCCCATCCGCTGCGGGCTTAGGCTCAGCCACAGCCCCTGCAACAGGGGTCCCATCACTGCTCTGAGAGCCTGCCCGCTTGAGCTGCTTGATCTTCGCATCGTCCTCTGTCGTCTTTGCTGCTGGCCTTTTCATGGCAGCCCTTGGCTTGCGAACCTTCGACACCTGTGCCGATGGAGGGGTTTCCATTGGTACCTGCAACTCCACATGGGGCGGAGTTACCCCCGAGAAATCGTCCCCACTGCTATGGCTGGAATTGTTTGATCCAGCACGACCTCGGCCACGGCCCGAACGACCACGCCCGGAACGACCACGGCCGGAACGCCCACGGCCTCTGCCCCGGCCCTGCTCCTTCTTCTCGTGTCGCAAAGCCAGCTGCTCAGCATGACTCAGCATGCCAGCTGGGTGACAAGGGGATGGCAAAGCACCTGTCTTGTTCCAACGATCGGCTGCGTCCTCGCCGGCCTCTTCCAACTCCTTCAGCAAATGAGGGCTGAAACCTGGCTTTGCCCACGGCAAAGGCTTTGAACGGCCCTGCTTCCATGCCTGGAACTCCTCATCAAACGTCTTTGCCAAGGATCTCTTCAGAGGAGGCGGTGGCAGGTCGAAAACATGTCGTTTCTCTGATGCGGGAGGCGGCTTCAAACGATTCGCAATCGCAGCAGTCGGGCTAGCAGCTGACACCACTGCAATGGAAGGCTCTCCAAGAGGCACTAGCTGCATAGCCTGGGGGCTATAATACTCTGTTGGGGATCGTCCTGCCAGCATGGGGGACCTGGGCGCATGCAAAGACCTACGGATATGTATGCGAAACTATAGTGCATAGCATGTATAGGTTCGCTGCTTTGTAAACCTATACAACCCATATTTTTACATGTAGTCAAAAGGTCGATCAAGATAGAACAGATGTATGTGTCTATTTATATATTCTGCATATTGTATGAATGTATATGTATGAATATATGTATGTATATGCCTGTAATGTAGTGTATACGACCTATATATATATATATATGTGTGTGTGCACATATGTATATATACATATGCAGATGAATAGAGGCAAATGTGTATATATATATGTATCTCTATGTACATGATATCTGTATCTTTTCTATTTATGTATTTGTGTATACACATATGTATACATATACATATATCACATATCTCTATGAAACCACACATACATCTATACAAATGTATGTCCACATGCATGCACACAACTCCCAAAGAATCTGCTCGAACTGACCAGCTAGGAACTCCTCCACTAGGATGCTGCTTGGCCGGCTTGGCCCAGGTGCAGCCGGCACCAAGTCCTGGTGTGCGAAACCATGCAATCTTTGAGATGTTCCTTGTTAATTATCAAGATATGTCTTCTAAGCGACATGCGTATCTGCAAACCAGTGCCAGTTCATCTTTTTGCACTACAACTTCCTATGTAGACATGTATAGTCTGCAAAAGAGCAACTGAACACGGGTTTGCAGATACAGGCATATATATATGCAATCCTCTTCCATGGGAAGCGTCTCATGCAGATCAGTGTGCTCACCAAAGTGCCTTCATCATGAACAGACATGAAGAAGACATAAGTGTTGACTTGTCAGAAATCACATCTAGCAGGCCCATGGCCTGGCATTCTGCCTTCGCAAAAGTTCGCGCAGCTCCCCAAGCATATCCTCCGAAGTGGCCTCGAGACCATTGGAACCTCGGCTGTTCAGGATATGTGGAAACACCATCTCACTCAGCTTTTCGAGCACAGGGACATCCATCTGGAGCATCCTTCCCGGGCATCGGGGAGTCTTCAATGAGCACAGGGGCAGGGAGTTCATCGATCTCCTTCATCATGAGATCCAAAGCAGCATAATCTGGATCAGGCTCTTCCTCCCCAACGTCTGCGGCCTGGCTCTCGTGCCCATCCTCATCCGAAACCTCCTCTGCAGCCTCACTCGAAGCTGCACCCTGCTCACCGTCCAACTCATCATCGGCAGCCTCACCCTCCGGAGGGGCCAAGGGAACCAATGGTGGATCTTCCTCGGGAGGCTGCTGGACCTTTGCGCGTTTGCCCTTGCCCCTGCCTTTCCCTTGGCTTACCCGCACACTCTTGGAGAAGCGAGGCTTTGTATAATCCTCCTGAATCGCATAGAACTGGGACACAGGGCAGTCTCTGGCCAATACCCATCCGGATCTTTGGCGTAGCTCTGCCTTACATATACATAGCATGCTGTGTATGTCTATATATATATATATATAATATCACTCGCATGCAATGCACGACACTCCTGCCCATCTTCGTGCTGACAAGCTGCAGTGAGCTCGTGCACATCGGCATCACGCTGGCTATCAGAGCGATCAGCCAATCCTCACAGCTTTATACATATACATACATATATATATATACTATCATAGCTACAGCATTCTCGAACACATCAAACTTTTGCATCCAGGAGCTTCGATGGCAGGTCACCGCCGTCTTCATGTTACGGGCATCCTTGTTGCACATACCTTGGGCAACCTCGGGCACCTGAAGACCAAAGCATTCAGTATGTGTCTCAGACAATACAAAGTATGCACATGAATCTAACCATGCAGAACGACCTTCCATTCTTCAGTCTGGTGCTGCAACATTTTCTCCATCATCGGCACTGTGGCCAGAAGCGAATGCTGCAGGCATCGCCCCACGATCGGCTTCAGCAAATCCTTGTCAGAAAGCTCGAATTCTACTATATATGGGGTTGCGTGGCAACAGCAATGAAAACCTTCCAAAGATACAACCTTCGATAGCTATGTACATGAGGCCTTGTTGAGCTTCACCGCAAGGGCTGAGATCTGTTTCTTCTTGCCCTTGTCATCACCCGGCCACAGAAAATATTTCTTCTGGCCGAAGACCCGGGCTTTCAGCTCCTCGTTTGCATCCCACTCCTCACAGGTTATCATTGGACAGACGACCACCATACACGAATGGAGGCATGAGCCCACGCATGACTGATTTAAACGTGCACGCAGCACCTTACACACCTCATTCATGAGGTTTTCCAGGAGTTGCAAATCTTCTCGCATGGCTACCGGGTCAGACGCAGCAGCATCTGGAGCACCAGCGGGGGCGGGAACAATATCCATGGCGAACTATTTCACCACAGAAAGACCCGAAAACAAAGCCGCAAACCCTGCAGAATCGGAGGTGCTCAACAAAGCGTTCAGTTGACATGAAACGATGCAGGGCTGATATCCCGTGCGCTTCTCTACTGCAGCAGCCCCTGCCCACTGTGCAATAGGGCCCTGGCGGAATGACGCCAGCGACCAGGAAAGCATATACATGGCGGTTCCACGACAGCAAGTTTTCGTGGTTCGTGATTCGTCATAACATAGTATGTAGAAGAAGATTCGGGAACTTAATTATAAATATAATAGAGTCTTATCCAATATTCGTACAAGTTTCCAGCGCAGAAACCAGTAGAATATTGTAGTCCCCGGAATCTTCCACATGTATATATATGTGCATATATATATATATATGTATATATATATATATATATATATATGTATATGCACATATATATATATACACTTATATATTCGCACATATATTTATATTATATATATATATATATATATATCTAATTATAAATATAAACGAATACCTATATATATATATATAGATACATATATATATACACACATATATATATATATATATATATATAACACATAGATACATAGATAGATAGATAGATAGATAGATAGATAGATATATATATATATATACTTATACATTATAATATATATATATATATATACCAATGCATCTACGTGACATGTTCGGTACAAGCTGAGAGAGCACGCGACGAAGCGAAGATGTCAAGATCTGGCGAAACCAAGTGTCCAAGAAACCTAAAATTCCAAGACTGATGAAACTTAGTTTCCAAAAAACCAAAGAATTTCCAGAAACCATGGTTTCGTAGGAAACCATAAATGATGCAACAAAACAAGCAAACCAGAAAAAGGAACTACAAAGGGACGTCCAGGTATAGCCCATAGACCCCAGAGTAATTCTGTCCAGCTACATCCTGCAAAAAATCCCGAACCCATCTCATCCTAACTGGACCCGTAAACGTAGGCAAAACAATGGCCCCGAACCTATCAAAGGCCATTATTCTACATACTTGTGGGGTCCAGGTAAACCCTATAAGCCAGATGCCATGTGGGAGTTTCCGAAAATTAGGGCTACCATATTTTGGGGTCCCTGTAATAAGGAGTTTACTATTTAATAGGTATGAGACTGGGGTCCGCCATTTTTGGAAAGTCCCATGTGCAGCGCGAAAGGGTCAACGGTTCGTGTTTGCTCTTTTCTGCCTAGGTTTCTGGGTGGAGAGTTCAACATTTCAAAGATCCTTCGTAAGTCCGAAATGTTTTGCTCCTAGGGTCCTAGAATCTACGTTTTGAGCAGTACACGAGAGACACAACCCTGAAATGTTTGTCCATGCTGGATTTGCTGAGGAAGCAGGCACACTCCAAGGCGTCGATCTTCTATGGCGCGGATGAGTACCTTGAGGCACGCTGTGTCCAGTCTTTGAGGAGATCATTTGCGGAGAAGTCCTTGCGTAGCCAGAACCCAAGACCAAGCCCTACCTGGACCCGATGAAACCTGCCTTTTTAGGGTTCTGTATTACGAGTTCCTTATATAAGTCCTCAAAACGGTAGGTTATTTGGGATCCAGGTATACCCATCAAGCCTTGACGTAAACACATCCTTGAGCTTGTAACCCTAAGGGTCCAAGTACCCAACTATCATATACTCTCAAAACTAAAAACCTACATAACTAGTATCCCAAGCCCGAGTACCTAAGGCAAAAGCCAGAAAGTTGGAATATGATTATCCTAACCCTTCTATGGTAAGTTATAGGGTATCTACCAAGAAACCATATTCCAACTTTCTGGAGTTCCCTGTAAACTAAACCCTAAACCCTAAACCCTAAACCCCTAAACCCTAAACCCCTAATTGTTGGGTCCTTTGGACCCTTTGGGTAATCTTTAGGAGGGACTCTAGGGTCGTTCACTAACGTCAGGGTTTCCTTTTTGGGCGAGAGGGTGGCTTTAGGAATGAAGATCCTCAACCTTAAACACTAAATGCTCATCCGAGGTATAGGACGTTTCTTGTTGGTCTTGGCAATTTCGCCCGATTTTTTGTAGGATCGTTCCGCTAGGAGCCTTTACGGCTCGCAAGAAGTTGTAGAAAGCTGGTGCATCAGGGTAAATCCGAAGCCCCAAGACCCTAAACCCCTAACTCCCAAGACCGTAATCTCTACACTCCTAGGCCTGTGATTCCGAATATCCTATCCCCTTCTAAGCTCTATTTGGGGATCAACCGTTGCAGGTGTATAGGTTGAAGTGCAGAGTTTCGCGGCGATTGCGACTTTCAGATTTGAGGGAGTAGGCAACTACCCAAAGTCTCGATTGGAGTTCCTTCCCAGAGCCTCCAAAACCCCTTAATTAAGGAATATACCTTAAATTATAATAGGATCCCTAATATGATTTAAGGTATATTCCTTAATTAAGGGGTTTTGGAGGCTCTGGGTTTTGCTGGTGGAGCAAGTTCAGGTTCACCAGCAAATAAATAGGACAAGGCAACCAACTGACTACAGGGAAGGCTTCTCACTCCCACAGAGGCTTAATCTTGGGAGTAGATTGTAAAGCTTTGCACCACCCAGGGACGCTGTCCTTAACCCTTCAGGCATCAACGGCCAAACACCCACAAGAACAAACCAAGAACAAAAACTGCAGGCGGCCCAGAGCTAACTTGCACAGACTCGTCTAGGGTCTGTAGTTTGGGGTGAATCCTACGGTAGGCTGTTTACAAGCGGCTTAGCGTCGAGGAGTTTTGATTCCAGCCGACATGCGGAGGGGTGCTCAAGGCTCCAGGGTTCCTCTAAAGGGCCCAGAGCCTCCAAGACCCCTATTAATTAAGGAATATACCTTAAATCATATTAGGGATCCTATTATAATTTAAGGTATATATTCCTTAATTGAGGGGTTTTGGAGGCTCTGGGGGTGCCCGCAAGGGTTGCCCGAAGTTGTTTGTTTTATGGTAGGGCTTAGGGTTGCGAAGTTCTGTCCTCGCTTCCTCGCAGTTTTCCGTTTGATTATGAGCTCATGCTCAAGCATCTACAAGCAGAGTCTTCGATGGCCTCGAATGAAGCGGTTGTGGGCCGGCTCCCAGCACTCTTCAGGATCTATATGTACGGGGCGCTGTGCCGAAATTATACGCGAAGTCCAAGACGTTCAACAAACAGCTAAAGCCTCCCAATTTTTGAAACCCACCGTCAGGGCTCTGTACCGTATAAAAACCCTAAGTCCCAAACCCTGCGGCTGTTCGCGCACCAGGAGCTGAAGAAGAAGCTTGGCGAACTATGGTTCAGGGCTTCCAAATCCAATAATTCACAGGATTTGAAATAGGAGCTCTATAAGAGGTCCTATGACGGGGCATCCCTAATCAAAAGGACCCAACAAGTATAAGGCTTCGGGTGTATTAGATAGGGGACGCTGGGGTCAGTATTCGGGCCCCTGCACCGCGCCCCGAAACACTTTAATCTCCCAACTTCCCAGAGCCTCCAAAACCCCTTAATTAAGGAATATACTTTAAACCATATTAGGGATCCTATTATAATTTAAGGTATATTCCTTAATTAAGGGGTTTTGGAGGTTTGGGTTCCGAAGGCTAGACTTTGTTTCCGTGCGATACAAATTCCGCAAATTGTCCCTTGAGAAGCATACCCAGACCCTCCATCTAGCCTCTATTCGACCCTAAATGCCCCCTATTATTTGAGGGTATAAGGAGGGTCCTGGTAGTTACAGGTTTTTTCGTAAGCCGAAAACACTGAGCACATGCTTCTGCAGGGCCTCCCTGAAGGGCCAAATGACCCTTAAAAGTAGGGGCCCTATACCCATATACTATGAATCCCTATATGGTATATGAACCTTAAACCCTTTTCGGGTTCATGTCGTCCTTAAGGTCCCTGGCCGATCTTGAGTCTTCGGGGTCTTTGGCTCTGACGCCTAAACCCCTTAAAGCCCCTAAAGCCCTAAACCCTTGAACCCCTAAGCTCCTAAACCCCTAAGTAAGGCCCTCTTAAACCCCTGAAGCCCTAGAGCCCTCAAGCCCTAAACCTCCAAACCCTATGGATCCCTTATAGAGCCCTTATGGATCCCTTTAAAGGAACCCCCAAACCCTATAGATTATAGAGCCCTTATGATGGATCCGGTTAAAGGAACCCCCAAACCCTACAGACTGTAGAGCCCTTATGATGGATCCCTTTAAAGAAACCCCGGTAAAGCCTTCAGCCCTAAAAGGAAGTATGCCCACGACCACGAGATCGCTGCCATGAAGAACTTGCTCCCAGGTGAGCCGCTCCTCATTCTGGTGGACCTGGTTTAGGATTTCTATAGGGCTTATACGGTGTTTAGGGTTTAGGATTCATAGGGTATTTACGGTGTAGGGTTTGGGATGTATAGGGTAGTTCGGGTTTGGGGCGTAGGGTTTAGGATTTATTGGGTAGTTAGGGTGTAGCGGGTTTAGGTTTAGGGTCGTTTCTGCAGAAGGGAGTCTTGATAATGCCGGAGCCTATGTACTAAGTCACATGTACTGTACTGTTGTTCTTGTGAAGAACCTTCGGATGTTGTTTCAGAATTGAACGCCCAGAAACCCCTACAGGGAACTCCAGAAAGTTGGAATATGGTTTCATGGTAGGATACCCTATAATTTACCAAAGAAGGGCTAGGATAATCATATTCCAACTTTCTGGCTTTTACCTTAGGTGTAATCTCGAAGTTTCAAGCACTGAGCCCGTACGCAAATCATCATTCCAGGGCTGCAGAGGTCTTTGTTGCAGGTCATTGAAGATTTCGCGGCATTTCGTGGCTTTGGAGCTTGCGGCTCAGTTCTGCTCCTCAGAAACCACGGGATTTAAGAAAATGAGACCCTGCTCTAGCTCTTCAGTCCCCTTTGCTACCTGGCATATTACTACACTTCGGGAAGAGCTCATAACGCATAGACTCCATTTTTTGGATTGAATTGACCGAATCGGCCAGATGGAGTATGACCACGACTACCAGTACGATTACAGCGACGACGCGTGCAACGATACGAGTCTGACTACCACTACCAAAATGGCTACAGCTACGACGACGACGACTACTTCTGCTGCTGCTCCTGCTTCGCCTAGTGCTCGTGTGGTTTGTGCTTTGCGGTTGCCGCGACTACCAGCACTGCTAGTGCCATCGCCAGCACCATCCTCACAAATCCCCAGACCATGCCCAGGTGAGGGTGACCCGAATGCAGCTGGTGTGGCTGAGTCGAAGGACAAGATGCTCAAGGTGGAGAAGAACAATGAGAACAGGAGAGGCCAACGAAGTGTCCCCTAAATCCCATAGTCACTAGTTAGTCCTGAGGCCTAAGCCTTAGAAACGAGCAGCAATGAAAGCAGGGGGCGCTCCGGTGTGCTGTGCAACCACAGCGCCGCCAGCACCACTGCTGCGATTGCCCCAGCCACTACCAGTCTTTGTAGTAGTACCAGCATCAGAGCCACTACTAGAACCAGTGCTGTGCTATCATCTGCTGCTGCTACTAATTAGCTTTCGGCTGGTCGAGCTGTCCAAGGTGGATTGAGTCTCATGCGTTTTGGACCAGGTATTTCGGATTGGTGTATGAGTGTATGGTATGGTCTTGTCACTTGTTGTTGCAACTTTCTTGTTGGATTCTGTGGACCGGCGTTTGGCTTGTACAGGAGCCTCAAGACCAACCGGCTCTTCCCAACGCCCAACAAGCCGGATCCTATGCCACACAATTTGGCGTTCCTCGGTTTTGGATGATGGCAGCTCAGAAACCTGGCAAGTAGAAATGTGGTAGAGCGCCTACAAGGTATCTGGAGCAGCCAGGCCTTCCGCTTTTTATCTCATGTTCCACTCTAATCCGCTCTAACCTGCGATGTCGGGGGTTTCTGTCTGTCCCAATCATGACAGGTTTAGGGATCCTTCGAAACAGTCCGCGATGGTACCCGCAACCCTAAAGCCTATTTAAGCAAACCTTACTCGTGTTTGGAGGGTTTGAGATCACCGAATCAGCTGTTGCCTACAGGGACAGGGGACTTGGCCAGTCCATCAGGTAGGGTTCAGGGTTCAGGGTAGATTCATGGTGGACTATGCATAAGATTGAGAAAGATGATGTTTAGGGTTTAGGTTAGGTTTGTGATGTGTTAAGCATAAGATAGTGAAAGATGATGTTACCTCCCATCCTGGCGTGGCCAGGGTTGCCCCGCAAAGCCAAGGGGCCGGCCTGCTAATTTTTGAATTTATCATTTCTATTTTCCATTTTTCTATTAAACTCATAAAGATTGTTGTATTTGGTAATCCAACCCTCAACTCTGAGCAGACATGCCCCAGGTTCCTATTCACGAAGATCACGCCGGAGCAGATGATGTACATGCACCTCACAGCATACTAGAGGGTCTCCTGCAAACCGAAGCCCCCGTCTTCGAAGTGCTCTTAAAGGGGCTCAGAGTGTTGTAACAGACCTGCAGTCACTGTAGTCTCCATCGTAGCTCCTTTTGTTGGTTAACCAACCTCAGGTTAGGATCCCAAAATATAACAGAAATGGTTAACCAAAAGAGGAACAAACATGGAGGTTTCTTCGCTCCCTTAAGACTCTCTGTAAAGGGTCTGTTCAAAGCCCCCCGCTTGTGCACCTCTTTAAGCCCGAGAGACTAGGCTTTGGTACTTCCAGGGCCCTATCAGTCTCGGGCACTTATGTCCCCTCCGCATACAGCGCCCTAAATTATCGGCGCAGGGTTTCCGGTATCTTCAATTGGGTTTAAACGAGGAGCCCTAGGGGAAGGTATTACTAGAAAAAATTTAATCCTATATTGTGAGACTGCTCAGGTGGAACGTGCTCACGTTCATCTTCCTGACCCAGTGCACGATGATCGTGGCCCGGATGGAAGGAAGAGGGCATAGCATGACACTTGCACATTTCCGGACCGACTCGTGGATCAACGAGAGAAGGACTCATAGTGCACTAAAAGTGTCGATGTGGTGCGAACTCAACCGAAAAGTAGCAAACAAGCACACAGCCTGCGCGATATGCTTGGCTCAGGCTTCAGGTTCGAGGGGTTAAGCTCATGCTTCGACAGCTAAAGCAGCTATCGGTTGTTTGAACCAGCACTTTGTTGAAACGAGTTCCCCCGACAAGAACTTAACTTGCTTCATGAGGGTTTTGGAGAGCGAGTTGTGTGGGCTAGAAATGACTTCAAGAATGCCTTCAGCAGCTAGCTCCTGAAATCTGTGGGCATCAAGCTAGGGCCTGTGGTTGTTGCGTTTGTCCGGGTTGTTTGAAGTACATACCCTAAGGCCCCAAAGTAGTTCCTTTTTGGGGTTCGTATATAGAATCCTATAAGATAATCCCAAAAAGGAACTACTTTGGGGCCTATGGGTATACCCCAAGCCCTGAAGCTGAGTCAGGGATCGGGTTAAACGTGTGTTCTGACACATGCAGGGCCCTGGGAGCCACGCAGCTTGAGAGAGTTGAGAGCTGGAGGAGGATTCTTTCTGTTCATCAGTCTCTAGACCCCTAAACCCCTAACCCTAAATCCCAAACCCCCTCCCCCCCAAACCCCTAAACCCCTTACCCTCTGAACCTCAGAACCCCTAACCCCTAAACCCAAGTCTTCGCCTGAGCCCGAAGCCTCTAGGAGTTGGCAAGCTAGAACTGACCGGTCAGGCTCAGGCGCAGTGTGGACATAGTGGTAGCAGTGGCAGTACCTTAAAGACGAAACGAAACCGAAAAGGGTTTAAGGTTCATATATCATATAGGGATTCATAGTATATGGGTGTAGGGCCCCTACTTTTAAGGGTCATTTGGTCCTTCAGGTAGTGGTATTTGTCATCGTCATAGCTATGGCTATGCTTGCTACTATCACCCCCAACCTGTCGGCAAAGGTGGCCTACTGCGCGGCCTTGGCGATGTTCCCAGAGATGTGGTGGACATGTGCTTTTCCTGCAGAGAGAGGTTGCAATCCAGGTGTGCTGGGGTCTGGGTTTGTTGGTCGGGGGCCCTTCCGATGTAGACGACGACGCCCGCGGTACATACTGAACATGCCTTCAGCCATAGCGATCCCTTGTCATAGACACCTGAGTGAAGTATCCCGCAAGCCGAAAGCCTAAACCCCGCAAGGTCCCCAAAGCTATAGTCTGTAGGTACGTCACGCATTTCGGAGCCTCATAAAGCTTTCCTCCGCGTGATCAGACATCCATAAATTCCTCAGGCACTGAAATGAACCTCAGGACCCCCGGAATCTGAGCCGTGAATCCGGGGTTTCAGGTTCAGGTAGAGCCCTGAACCCTAAACCCCAAGCTCGAAACCCTAAACCCCTACAGTCTGAACCCTAAACCCCCAAAATCGAGGCCCTAAACCCCTAAAGTCTGAACCCGAAACCCCCAAACTAGAAGCCCTAAACCCGTAAAGTCTGAACCTGAAGTCCCGCATGTTGAGCCCTGCACAGCCTCGCCATCCAGGCACCCTCTGCTTCGGCATCCCGTGACCTGGCCTTCCTTAAGGACGACGAACCCTAAAAGGGTTCAAGGTTCATATGGGTGGTTGTCAAAATTAGCGTCCCTTTTTGTGGTCTTATTATAATACGGCACCTATTATTTGGGGTATTCAAGAAGGAGCCTGAATGTAGACAACTACCCATACACCATATAGGGATTCATAGTATATGGGTATAGGGCCCCTACTTTTCAGGGTCATCTGGGCCTTCAGGTATGGTTTCTACAAGGAAAGCGTTGAGGGTTCCAAAAGGATTAGATGCCTGTTTTACAGGCAGGCTTTGGTCGGGCTTGTTGGGGATAAAGGATCAGGGAATTGGTAATAAGCAAGCCCTGGACCCTTAACACCAACTGCGGTTCGCAGGTCGTCGGCTGGTCGTGTAGATCTTTAGGGTTTCGGGTGTAGGGTTCAGGGGTCACTGTTTTAGGTTTAGGATTTAGATTCCGAATCTTTTAGTTCCAGTGTTGGGTTCAAGCGTTCGATTTTCGAACAGACGGGTCTCTGGTGTGGTCGTTGGGGGATCGATGCTGGTATTACGGGTACCTTACGAGGGGTCCCAGGGTTCCTTTAAAGGGATCTGGGATCTCTAAGGGTTCTGTAAAGGATTTCGGGTTTAGAGTTACCAAAAATTAGGGGTACCTTATTATGGGGTCCTTAAAATAAGGATCCTACTGTTGAGGGTATTATATTAGGGTCTCCTATTTTCGGAAACTCCCATGGATGCATGTTTATATAAATATGTGTTCACTTGTTTATTTGCCCTGAAGCCCAAAGCCCACACGCGAAGCCTTCACAGGGCTTTGTTAGAGGTGCATTATAGAGCTCGGGGTTTAAAGGGTTTCAGAGGGCTCTGCGGATCTTGAGCACCAGACCCTAGACCACAAGCCCTGAACTTGTGAAGCACGAAGTATTTACAAAGAAAGGCTTGATGTTCTGTACACGGCGGAAGCCCTATGAAGCGTAAAGTCTTGCTCTACACTAGCCCTGACAACCCTGAAAACTTTGAAACCCATGTAAGCTGGCGTGCCAAGGTTCTCGTATGTGGCCATTCAGCAGATCTACATTGATCACGATGCGCCCCGGTTCGGGCTTTAAAGCTGTGGTTGGAGGTTATCGCATGTAAGAGGTTTAGAGGTTTCGGGTTTGCAGGGAGGGCCGGATTTTGGGTTAAATCCCTGCCCTCAAGAGCCATTGAGGGTTCAGGCTTTTTAGGGTTTTGGGGTTAGTGCTCAGGTGTAAAAGCATACGGAGATCCTGAGCTCAATGAACACGTGCTGCGCCCTCATCAAGCCGTTATCCAACTCTGCTAATAGTTTCGGAAACCTTGCAATACACTCTCCCTACACATCATCCCTACAGCTTAGAACGGCAAACCCCAAGCTCATACTTGCCGAAAGCTCAAACCCTGAACCCAACCAGGTGATGCACGGCGCCACTTTCCCTGTCTACGAGTTCCAGAAGTTCTTAACCCACCCGCGCCCCAGATCAAACAGAGGAGGGGTGGGTGGGCGGGTGGAACTTTTCTATGTATGCAGCTGTATGATATATATATATATATATATATACACATACATACATATATATATATATATATACACACATGTATACACACATATGCACACATATATATGAGTATAAAATGTCTACATATATATATATATATATACATAAGATAGTAGCATACAATAAACAATTGATATACATATGTGCGTATATGTATATATATATATGTATATGCACACACATACATACGTACATACATGCAGGCAGACGGACATACTTGCTTGCTTGCTTGCTTACTTACATACGCCTTTAGGTTCAGGCCTCTGAAGTTTTGGTGTTGTGGTTGCCTGTGTTTCAGGGTCTGTTTTCAGCAGCTCGTGATACTAAGGATCCGTGGTTCACTGTACGTAATGGGTTCCTTAAATGGGTTCTACAGCGGTACCGACGGTAGAATAAGGGTTCGGGGTTTCGGGTATACTGGTTCACGTACTCACAGTGCAAAAACGTGGGCTTCAAAGTTGTCCCTGTTTAGGTACTTTAGGCCCAAAGTATAGACTTTGTGTAGGAACTCAAAGTCTTCAGTTTGTTGGGCCAAGCAGCAGCAGCAGAGTAAGTAATCCCAAAGAAGCTGCAAAAGGTAGGGAGCACTACAGCTGAACTGCAAGTTGATCTCTTCTCTCACCCTAAACCCTAAACCCCTAAACCCTAAACCCCTAAGCCAAGCCGAGGTTCGCTGACTTCTTTTCCCTGCCCTGGGAGGAGTTTGTTCTGGAGCACAACAGGCCTCTTCTTCTAGGGTTCCCTTAGAAGGGGTCCTTAAAGGGATCTATAAGGGTTCTACAATGGGGATTATTGTAGGGAGTTTCCGAAAATTGGGGGAGTACCCTGATTTTGGGGTTGGGCCAGATGCAGTGGTCCCTGGCTTTGGCTTTTCCCTTGCGGAAAGGTTGAACCAATAGCAAAACTTACAAACTCAAAAAGGACATAAGCATAAGCTTGATCCCAACCCTGATTTTTTGCTTATGTGCTTTGTTGGGGCCCCAAATAACGTCCTGAAGCGTGCAACCCTTACCAAGCTCCGAAGTGGATGTTACCGCCAGGACATAAGTGGCCGAATTGCAGAGGTTTTCATGTTTCGGGGAGAGGAGTCGGCGAGGAGGTTCAAAGCAGGACTTTGTGATAATTCGTCTGTAGAGGAAGAAAAAAAGGACTGCTTCGACCACTCTGCCTAGTCATAGTCATGGCTTCATCCTCATCCTCATCCTTATCGCCAGCATCCTCATCATCAGCAGCATCATCAGCGTCATCATCGTCATCGCCGTTATTCACTGTGCCGCCCATCACTGCAAACTACGTCATCACCAACCACGAACCGGAAGCCGCCCGAAACCCTATAAGCCAGAATAGCCGCAAGCCGCAAGCCCTAAACGGTTCTGATCTTTGACTCACTCCGAGCCTAAGCCGCCCCCAACATTACAAGCCCTGACCCACCTAGAACTTCAAGCCAGCTCAAAAGGCACCACGCCTCCACCGTTGACCTGCTGATCCAGGGCGAGTTCGGCTGGGACCCGGAGGAGTGCCTAGGGAGGGTCTTTCGTACTGCCTCATAGTAGTAGAGTAGGTAACCTTTAACCGTTTTGTGGTATTCGAACCCCTATCTCATCTACTCGCAATATACTCCTGAAGGTTAACCTGTAGTTCCCCGTGATACTGGACAAGTAGGATCCGGGCCCTGATGCATTAGATTCTTCATATAATTATAAACTGTGTGCCACTTATACAGAACTTTTGCAAGCAACAGGGGAGAAAATGAGCACATAAATGCATACGTACGTATACGCATATATATATATATATATATATATATATATATATATATATTCATATACATATATATATATATATAGATACATACATTTGTATTTATTATATTTATATTCATATTTACATACATACATACATATATACAGATCTACACGTGAACGAATGTGTGTTAGAAGGAATCAGCTTTGCAGGTTTCTTGGGCGTCTGTACCCCCAAACACCTTGCCACAATCATCCGGTCAGGTCGAGTTTGTTTGGGTTTAGGATTTAGGGCTTACGGTTAAGGGTTTGGGTTTTTAGAGTTTAGGAGTTATGGCTGAGGGTTAACGCTTCGGGGTTTAGGGTTTAAGGCTGTGATTAACGGTTTGGGGAACAAACACAACAGTGTAGCCTGCCTAAACTAAGCATTGTCTGGAACCCCCAGCAGTGCCACCCAGATCCACCAGTGTCGCACTTTTTGTTTGGCTTCCTTGGCTTTTAAGCAGGTTCCTAAGCATAAATTCGGCTATGCCAGAAACCGGTACTACTATAGGGGCCTAAATTGCACGATGTTTTCGGGGGCGGTCCTTATTATAATTATAGTATAATGGGCCCCAAAACCCTGTTCTACGTAATTGCTAAGGCCCCTATATCATAGAACCCTACTATAGACCCTTTATAGACCCCTCATGGGAACCCCTTTAAAAGACCCCTCTAAGGACCCTTATTCTAATTGTTATTAATGCCACTATACTACATTGCGGGGTCTAGGCAGCCCAGGCTCTTGGCCAGGCCTCATGTCCTTGTACCTGAAACTACTCTAAACCCTAAACCCTGAACCCCAACCAAACCCTTAACCCTATAGATCCCTTATGGATCCCTTTAAGGAACCCTAAGCCCTAGACCTTCACTTGGCGTTCTTCTGGTTGGCTCTTAGGACTTTAATTTTTTTGGGTTTCTCTATGAACCATAACAAGGAGGCTGAAAGTTTAACTTTTCGGAGGGGTTCAGAAGTCAACCAGGGATTGCTGGCTTTGGCAGGAAGTGCGGGCAGAAGAGGGTCTTAAAGCTCGTAAACCGTAAGTCTGAGATCCTATAAACTCCGAGACCCTGAAGCCCCGCGCCCTGGAGCCGTTGGCTTGCAGCCCCAAACCCTGAAACTCTAAACTCTACCCATAGTCTCCATGGTAGTTCCTTTTTGGGATTACCTTATAGAATTCGAAGTATAAGCCCCGAAAAGGAACTAGTATGGAGCCTCTAGGAAAACCATCCTCTAGAAATTGATTTGGGATTGTGTTTAGACTTCCCTTATTGCTTGATGCGCAGGCCTAGTTGTAAATAGTTCTGGAGACGGTTGAAATCGACAGCTAGTACATTCCTAAACCCTAAACCCTTGTAGTAGCCCTTATAGAACCCTTTATGGAAGCCTTGAAAGAACCCGATGAAACCTTGTTCTAATCTAAGCATTTAGGCCCCTACACCCTGAACCCGAAACCCTTAACACTTAAAACCCGTAAAACCCCGCCCCTAAACCTGATCAACGGAACCCTGCGAAACCCTCTTGCGTAGCTTCCAGGAGTTCCACTATGCCTTGCAGCAGTGGGCCGGGCCATGGAGCTCGAACTGGTACAAGCACTTCGGCTTGTGGGAGAGTTTTTGGCGTTTTGGGTTTAATTTCGAGTTTGGGAAATTTGTGATATCCTGCACCTATAGCTATAGAGAGTTCAAATTCCAGAAAACTAACCAATGGATCAGACGACCTCCACCCCAAGTCCTACGCCCCTTAACTCTCAACCGCTCCAGGTACCCTCTATTAGACCCTAAATGCCCCTTATACGGAACCATATACCCCTATTTGAGGGTAGAAGGAGGGTCCTGGTTAACTCTCAACCGCTTGAGGTACATCCTCACTGTTCCGTTTATTCCTGTGATCCATTTCTTTGGCCTGAACGACACGGGCTCGCTCTTCGCACTGGAGTGGTGGATGCATTTCCCGGACCGGAAGAAAAGTATCTGTATATTACCTATCGTCTCCATTGTACTTCCTTTTTTGGTTAAACCAAATATATAATTAGGATCCTATAAGGTAACCCCAAAAAGGAACTACAATGGAGACTATAGGTAGGGTTCTGGGAAGCAATTTGGGGCTGCTAAGGCTTTAGGGATCAATTCTGAGTCTTGGAGGAACCTATTCCCAGACAACCGTAACCCTCCAGTAGAGCATCGTAATGCGAAGGCCTTGAATGATCCGAATACAGAGCTTTTCGAAGCCAAGATCACGTTCTCTGGTTTCGGTGCATGTCGGGTAATGTGGCACGAGATGGCGAGCAGGAGTAATGTTCTCTGCCGGACGAGCAAGAGTAGCAGGTTCAGGATAGATTCATGAATCCCTGCCAAATTAGGAATGACAGGCCAAGCCGTTTCGTTGTTGTTCCCTTTGGGCCTTTCGACACTTGGACCTCGTAATCCGAAGCCAAAACACTTCAAATTCTCACGAACCCCTGAAGTATATAGGCCCAGTATAGGGCTTACACGTTCAGCATCTGCGGTTTCGGAGACTTAGTCGCTTGGCGCATGCAAGAGCCTGAAACCGGTTGCAAGTCTAAGTAAGGACTAGTGACTAGTGTCGGCTTTCAACTCCCACGCTAACCCTAATCCATATCCTAAACCCTATAGACACCCTGATCCGTATACCCTAAAAACTGAACCTGCAGCCCCCACGAAAGATCGGGTCATGTGGGCATCGTACCTAGGGCAGGACTTCCTAGCGTGTTCTTCTAAAGGTTTCACTAGTGGATACGTCGGATTGGGTTCAAGAGAGTGTAGCTGGGGCGTCTACCTGTAGGTCCAGTTAGGGATTGGATTTCTATATTTAAGGGCAGATCTTACCGTTGCAGCCTGTTGCGAGGATGAGGGCGCAGGTGGCAAGTGCAACAAGGAGTTCTGGTCCAAGTCGCCAGTCTCAATCTTATAGTAGTGCCGCTTAGGGCCGCATTGTTTCCATAATTCCTTTTCTTGGTTAACAAATGTTTTATGGTGATAACGTTTAGTGTAGGTCGGAAGTTAGGACCTTGCAATACGACATCAAGCAACAAGGAAGTGCCATGGACTTGGAGACCACATGTACAGGCTTTGGTGTAGGTATTTTTGACTAGGGCTTGGGGCTTACGGTCAGAACCGTTGAGGGTTGAATTCAGGTTTGGGGTGTCCAGATTTTAGATCCTAGCTGCTCGCCTAAGGACGAAAGCCCAAGACTGAATGCCAAACCCGACACACGAAACCCTGAACCCTATGCCGTTAGCCCCTGCAAGCCCCTAACACTAAAGGCACTACTGCAGGGTCCTAAATAAATTCCCAAACTATTTTTGGGGTTCTTTATTATGCTTATAGTATAATATACCCCCCTGACCCTATTCTAATTATTGAGGCCCCTATATCATAGAACCCTACTATAGATCCCTTACAGAAACCCCTTCATAAAGGACCCCTTTAAGGGGACCCCAGCAAACATGAAGCCGAGGTGGGTGCCCCGCCGTGTGAAGCACAACAGCTTTGTGCTCTGTTTGTGGGTGACTGGGCCTGTGCAACTGGAGAGTTCGGGAGGTTAAGTATTCTTGAACCATGGAAGGATTCCGTAGAGACTTCGGGGAGCTTGTTGCACGATGTATGCTGTCCGATGGAACGTTGGGGTCTACAGTAGGGTCCCTCTCCACAGATATGGGTTTAAGCCTTAAACCCTAAAACACCATATACCCTAAAACCCTAAACCCAAAAACCATATACCCTGCAACCCTAAACCCTATACCCTAAAACCCTAAACGGCCCTAAAACCCTTAACCCTAAAACCCTAAACTCTAAACGAGGCCCTGGCTCCGTCTTAACACTTGTAGTATAAAATACCCCCCCCCCCCCCAACTATTCTAATTATTAAGGCACCAAAACCACAGAACCCTACTTTAGATCCCTTATAGTAACCCCTTTAAAGGACCCCTTTTAAGGACCCCCTATTCTAATTATTAAGGCCCCTTTTGTAGAACACCTTCGCCGAGGCCCTCGTCTGGCTCCTGGGCACGTACCCTCTTGGACGCCCTCTGAGTGAGGGCTGGCGTTTTGTCTTCACAGCGGCTTGCTTGAACAAATGCTCTTTTCGGATTTAGGGTTTAGGCTTGGAGAGTTGATATCGCCTCGGCCCTAAATAGGGGGGCAGCGGCTGCTCTTTTTCCTGCCCCTGCTCATGCAGACTCTTCCTCCTCCTCCCCTCACAAAGCTCGGACCCTGTGTCTGTTTTTTGGGGCACCCTAAACCCTAAACCCTAAACCCTTTGCGTTCTGGGAGGTCTCATTTTTCGCCCGTGTCGGCTTCTCGGCGGCCTGGATGCTGGGCTGCATCCAAGCACAGAAGTGGTCCTGGAACACCGAAGCTTGATCCCGAGCCTTATGCAATCTCCCGAACACCTTGTCGCAACCCTTAAACCAGAAAACCCTAACACCTCGCAAGATTTTGGCTAAGACGGTGTACATTCTGGACAGAGGAGCCCGAACTTGGAGACTAGCTTCAAAGCTTACTTCTCGGATAGGCCCTGTACCCTAGAGAGCATTACACGAGCCGTTTAAGCCTCTGACGAATCGTACAGATGCCAGCTTTTTTTTTTGTGTTCTCTCTCTCTCTCTCGCCTAAATCCTAACCCCCTAAACCCCAAACCCCTCTCTGTCTCTCTCTTTCTGAATCACAGCTCCTATCTGATTAGCCGCATGAGGAAAAGTCCAAAAGCCAAGGCATCGATACCCTCATCCGGAACCCAGAGGGTCCTTGCACCCATCTAACTAGTAAAAGAGCCGCGGTTTAGGGTGTAGGGTTTAGGGTTTAGGATCATCTAGTATTCACTTCGACCCCACAGTATCTACTGTATAACAAGCACCTTTTGACGCAAAAGTAAATACAATAGGTTATCACATGTACCCTCAGGGCAAGTCGTCAAAGTCTTCAAGCCGCCAAACTCAGAACCTCCTTAGGCCTTACGTTTAGTGAACCGGACTCGACACCCTGTCTGAAAATCTCAGTCCGATGGCAAGGTGGGGTTTGTGTGTAAGAGTGCACGAGGTACCTCGAGGTACACATCTGCGCCGTGTCAACACACAATACTTAAGTGAGTTTGGAGAAGCACCAACCGCCGAACCTTCCTGAATCTCTTGACTCAACAATCGCCGCCTGACTTCCCGCTGCAGGATGTTTATCACAAACTTTACCCATTCGTTGCCGTGGAACGAGTTCCTAGCACAGGACCGATTTGTGAGCGACTTGTGATTGGAACGACGGTCCTCATATCCTTTCATCACCTGTAATGAATGTCTCTAACTTCTACACCGCCTGCCCTAATAAACCCTCAGCCCTAAACCCGAAGGTAACGGCGCAATTAAGCCCTAAACCCTTAACTCTTGCAACTCTTCCAACCCTAAACCCGTAACTCTTGCAACTCAAGCACAGATTCGGAGGGTCTTCTTGAAAATCTGACTTGCACTACAGGGCCATGTTCCAGCTCAGGCCTTTGCCCCCACGCGCACAGGTTATAGGGGCTCGATTGTAGGGGAAGCTGCGAATCCTGGCCTCGCGGTTGACATTCCCCTTAGGAATGCTAAAAGCAGACATGGTGACTCGATCATTATGTGGAGCCAGAACATCTGCAGTTGGAATGCTAATGCCATCTCCCTCCTTGATCGAGCTGATAGGGAAGGTGTTTCGCTACTTGCTTTGCAGGAGACAAATTTAGGCCCGGCCGCAGAGCACGGGGCCATGGCTACAGCAGCACGTAGAGGTCGGCAGCTAATCCACCTGCGCCAAACTGGCAAGCGCAGAGGAGGCGTTGCGCTTTTGTGCAAGTACCCTCTTGGCCTTACTAAGGTTGAACCCTGGACATGCGACCACGGTCAACTGTTGATCGCTGATTTGCACGGCTGTAGTCAACAGGTCAGACTGTATTGTGCTTACAGACTTCCTGGGGCTGACATGACTACACTCCACGAGTGTGCGCAACGCAGCCAAGCACACCCCATGCACTGTTGGCTTGTTGCGCTTGATGGTAATGTGAATATGAAAGAAGGCCAGTTTCCCGAGCTCATGACAGACTTGGGGGGGAAAGCTGTCGCTTTTGCCCGCCACAAACGGGGCAGCCACGACATCGACGCCATTTGGGCCTCACCCAGCATGCAGGCCACTGGCTGTCAACTTGAAGCTGACGGTGGGGACCACAGCATTGCCCAAGCCTCCTTCATGCTGGGGTTTCAAAAAGGAATGCCAAGCTGGCGCCTTAGCAACACTGCCAGAAACAGTGAAGCTGAGCCAGCTCCAAACGTGGGCCTTTTACGTTGGGACATGCACCCGGGCCAATGGCTTGAGCAGCTGTCAACACAAGAAGCCGACCAGCTCTGGGAGACTTGGAGCAGTAAAGCTGAGCAGTGGCTCAGTCAGGCAGGCAAGCTGGACCAAAGTCACACAGAAAGACCCTGGAGTTCTTGTCCGCTTTGCGTGCTAGTGCCGGGGCCCCAGCTTTATAGGACAGACTTTGAAGGAGCGCCAGCTCAACAGGCATAATGCTTGGCCAGGAAAGGCCTCGGCCTGCCACCGAACTTGCGTCGCGCACTGTTGGCTGCGCACACTCCTTCGGATGAGCGAGAGCACATGCTTTGGCAGCGCTGGCTCTATTGCCGGGGCCGCTAAATGGGTCAAAGCTGAAGGCCCCGTTCCCTTCGTCATTCAGGACGATGATGGTAGGGTCCTTACCAACAGACCTCAAGCGGCTAAGGCCCTCTTTGACAAGTGGAAGAAGGTGTTTGGGGATGATCTCCCTTTTGAAGGACGAGTGCAATCCTATATGGATAAGTATGCTTCTTACCTCCCTAGGTTAGGCGGGCGCCCTTCTTTGCCTCCGCCGACTGCCAACGCACTCACTCTCGCCTTCAAGAAAATGAGGGGGAAGAGTGCGGGCACTGACGGCCTCACGGCCGAAATGCAACTGAGCCTGCCCACGGAAGCTGTGAGGCAATTGGCCGCTATGCTTGAGCATTTTGAAAAGCAAGGTGTTTGGGCGCAACCCCTCCTCCATCGGAGTGTCACCTTCCTTCCCAAACAGAGACGGTACCCCCAGCTTGCTCCAGACCAGGCCCATCGTCATAAGCAGCACCGTTTACCGTGCTTGGGGCAGAGCTAGATTGGCCTCGATTTCCAGCTTCCTGACTTCCCTGTTAGCCTCGTTTCAGTCCGGGGTTCTTAAGGGGGCAGACGCTGAGGTCATCGTGGCGGCCTTAGATCTCACGTCTGAGGCTTAGGAGTGGCCTTACATGGCAGCTTTAGACTACGAAAAAGCCTTCGATAAGACTGATGCTGCGATTGCTATTCAAGTCTTCCGTCACGTCGGTCTTCCAGATGCTTTAGTGAACCTTTTGGAGAATTTTGGGGAATCAATGGAAACGACACATCCGGTAGATCACTTTTGGCACTGCCGTCCATCCTGAGGGCATGGCAGGCTGCAAGGGCCTGCCTCAGGGTGATGTCTTCTCACCTCTGGCCCTCGCGGCCTGTTTGGTGGGCCCCTTGAACCATGTCCAGAGTCTCACACCGGATGCGAGGTCGCTCCTCTATTTGGACGACAGAACGCTGGTTGCTAGAAGCTGTCCGGCGCTTAAACAAGCTCTGAAGCTTTGGAACGAGTTGGAGGCCGTCACTCGGCTCAAAACTCATGAGGCCAAGACCCAAATTGTGGGTAGAAACTTTGGTGCTTTTCTTAATCTGCAGAGGCACGGATACAAGGCCTCTACGGTTGGAGAGGTCCTTGGAATCACGTAACAACAACAGCGGCGCAAGTCAACAGGAAGATACTAGGAAATCTCTCGCTTACCGGTCTGCGGCTAAGATCGCTTACCTTCCTGTTCCTGTCTCTTTCAAGGCCACCCTGGCTTGCGTGCTCATTGCTCCGAAAGCCTTGTGGGGGTGTCTCTTGCAGGGCCGAAAACCCTCCGCAAAGGAAATCTCGGACTATTCGGAAGCTTTCAGAGACGCTGTTAAGGGTCACGACTCTGATTTCGATCGTTCTAGCAGACATCTCCAGAGAGTCTTGGTCCTAGGACATCCCTCGGACATGTTGCTCTATTCGGCGTCTAAAACCCTTAAAGCCATAGGCAGATGGGCGCTATCTCACAGGAATTGGATGGCAGGCGTCGAGAGACAAGTGGCTTGCGTCCACAGTGGTAGACACGTTGACTAATGGCACTGGCGGCCAAGGCGAGGCACTTGGGGGGTGTGGCAGTCTCCGGAGGGCTCTTGGGACGGTTTTAGCCCAAAGAAAGCCCAGGACAAAGGAGCGCATGCCTTACGACAGTCATGGCGCTTGAATCAGGTCCTGTCTTGGTTTGCCTCGTTAAGAAAAGACGCGGTTTTGGCTAGATCTGAACAGATAAGAATGGGGATTCCTTTGGTTTCTCGCCTTCGTGCTCTCGCGAGAAAGACTGACGGTCACGGCCTGGCCGTGATGACAGGAGGGGTCAGTTCCGACGCTAGGTGGTGCCCTAAGCACCTTGATTCACTGAGGCATTACTGTTATGATTGCAAATGTGCGATCACTCCGCACTTGTCTCATTTGTTTTGGGATTGTGCTGCGTGCCAGCACCTGCGATCACAGCCCAGACCCAGGCCAGCGTTGGCCGGGAGACTGGGTTGGCGTGGACAGCCCTACGCAGCTGAGGTACCTGTGTTGCAGCAAATGGCAGCTATCCGCAAAGCTGAGGTGGCTTCGAGGCGCTCTCGTGACAGCTGGCTCGGCTGGAGTTTTCAGCAACGACGACCTGGTGCAGCTGACGCAGCTGCCGGCGAGACTGTGTTCGTCCTGGGTGGCACTGGTGCAGCCAAAGCTGGCCCGGCTGGTGACGCTACAGGAAGGGAAGCCTGGTCGCTTGACCCTGGATGATCGGCGTGGCCTCACTCTGGCAGCTAACCCAGTGTCAGGTTGCTGCAGACTCTCACTGCATCGCATTGCCCAAGACTCTGAGCTTGGAGGTCATGAGCTTTCGATCATGTCAGGCAGTATGTCGACTGATGCAAGATGGTGCCCGGCAGGCACCCAGCGTAGCAGATGCGAGGATTGCGGCCAAGATCTATATGATCAAGTGTTGATCACATCTTGTGGGATTGCCCATGTCGCGACTATGCCAGTCTGAGGCGTTTGCCGAACCCAAGTCAGTCATTCGAGCCCGGTTGGGCTGGCCCCCTTGGGGACCATCAGAGAAGGGGTGCAGTTGATCAAGCAGCTTGGCAGCATCCGCGCTGCTGAGGTGCAGCGGCGCCGTCAGCGCATCACGTGGTGCAGCCGCTCAGCCGCTTCTGCAGTCGAAGTTGCCGACGAGTCTGCAGATGAGGCCGCCGTTGGTCCTGGCCTGGCTTCTGCGTCTGTTTCTGCAGAGGAGCCTGCACTTCTTCCTTGCCTGGCTCCCGCTACAGCTTCTGCAGATGAGTCTGCAGTTCTTCTCGGCCTGGCTACAGCAGGTGCGTTTGCAGCTTTTCCTGGCTTGGCTACAGCTACTGCTGCTGCAGATGAGTCTGCAAGTTTTCCTGGCCTGGTTACAGCTACTGCTGCTGCAGATGTGTCTGCAGGTTTTCCTGGCTTGGCTACAGCTACCGCTTCTGCAGATGAGTTTGCAAATCTTCCTGGCCTGGTTACAGCTACTGCTGCTGCAGATGTGTCTGCAGTTTATCCTGGCTTGGCTACAGCTACAACTTCTGCAGATACGTCTGCAGTTTTTCCTGGCCTGGCCACAGCTTCAGCTTCTGCAGATGAGTCTGCAGGCGTTCCTGGTCTGGCTACAGCAGCTTCTTCTGCCGAGCCTGCAGTTCTTCCTGGCCCGGCTACAGCTACAGCTCCGGAAGGAGCTCTCTTGGACTACGGGTAGACTGTGGCGATGGAGCGCGTTTGGGCGGCCAACCCCTTTGTTTTCGCAATTGTCAGGTTGCCGCTGAAGCCATCGATTATCACAAAGTTTAGCATCAGGGCCTCACTCTGGCAGCAAACCCAGTGTCAGGTTGCTGCAGACTCTCACCCTTATCACAAACTTTAGCGGCGAGCGCATCCACCTCCAGTGCTACGAGTACATTGTCCAGTGCTACGAGTACACGGTCGCCGCGGGCCCTGCAATCTGCAGGGTGCTAAGGATGCCAGGTGTTGTTATGCAGAAACGCAAAAACAAATTAATAAGACCCCGAGAAAAAGAAGTGATCAAGAGCCAGATGGGCCATTGCAAGAGCCAAGTTGGCCATCACTCCCCTTTTTATGCTGTCCGTTCTGGTCAGTCGTTCCTTGGTCGGGGGCGGCCCATGTTCCCCTTGCCTTCCCCTGCCTGCTGCTTGCTTTTGCTGTGCTGCTGGACCTCTGGTGCTGCTGCGCTGCCCCTTGATATGACGCCGTGGAGTACCATGGGAGTCATTGAACCTAGCCCTGCGGGCTCCCAATTCATTGCATTGCCTTGCTGTCTGCCATGGCAGCGCCAAAGTGTGGGAATACCTACACCAACGACGAGGACTCTGCTTGACGTTCCTGCAAGGTTTGATGCTGGGCTTGACTTCATGAGAGTTTGGTCTTCCTTTTCAAGTTATAAGCCTGGTAGTTTCACGGACGAGTTCCCTAGTTTTTACGTCTGCACTCGAGCTGTATGTGCCTGGGCTTACCCACACACGTTGCTTGGTGATGAGCCGGTCTTGCACTTAGGTTACTGTTCCTGGGCTTGCTTGCATGTGCTTGGGACTACCTGGACAGGCTCCTGAAGCGATTCCAACGTCGAGTTCGCGTGAGATTCAAAAGGCGTGTGAGGCTCCGTCGTTTAAAGGCTGCCAGACGCCGAAGAGTTCTTTTGACCCGGATGGCCAAGATTTGCTCGTTGCGTACTTGCATTTTCGCTTGCCGTTTGTGTGGTCGTCGCAGATTCCGACATGCAAGAGGCCTCTTCACTTGTGCACCCGTGGGTTGCGCCGCTCTCCTTATGGCCCCTACATGGCTCGGAAACACTTGTCTGCACCACTGCATGTGTCTCAGCATGTTGATGGTGGTTGTCCTGCTAAAGTTCAAGGTGCGCGCGAGGAGCGTCCTTCTGATGCTTACTTTGACTGGCTCAAGGATCATTTGCTCGACTTGGAGGGCGGATCTTCGCAGGCCACGCGTAAGAAAAGAGCTGCCAAGCAACAGTTGTTGTCGTTACTCCAACAGTTTGCGCGTCCGAAGCCGCGCCGCAGAAAAGCTCCTAAGCATGAGCATGTTCCTGAGGTGCCTGCCGATAACGGTCTTGCCCTCGCTAAGGCCCTTTTGAGCGGTCTCAAGCAATGCCTCAACAAAGGCGGTTCTGAAGACGACGTTCTTGGTATCTTGGCTGATGCTTTCCAAAACAAGGCTGTCGGTCTCCTATCGCGTCAAGTGACCCCTGTTGAACCACCGCGTGCTCATGAAACTTGGGAGCGTGAAGGTTGGGAGAACTGGAGTGATGAAGATTGTCGCCTGCAGGAGTGGTCGGAGCATGATTGGGACTATGCCAATGCCTCTTGGCCTTCACCTACGGCTGTGTCCAAACCTGCCCGGTCTGTTATGGCTAAAAAATGGGATAATCACTCAGAGTATTGGCGCAATCCCCTTGGCTCTGGGAAACCGTCCAAAGCCGAGGGCTGGCCTTCGCTTGAAAGTCGTTACTCGTCGGTTGCCACTGGTGTACGTAGTGCCGATTGGAAGTCAGACTGCCCGCCTAAGCTGATAGGCTACTTCGGTCTCAAACAGTCTCTGCTGAATGGCAAGATGCCTGAGGGAAACCTGGTTGAGATTTGGGATGAAACGTATCTTGATGAGCTTATCTGCTTGTGGGAAAGCTTTGATGATCCGTTCGCCTGCACGGTGCTGTTGTCGGGGCATGCTTGTCGTCGTGATGGTGCCTTGGTTACGCAGTTGTCCATCACGCGTGGTTCCTTTGGCCCTGCGCTCGAAAAGGTTGGTTTGCTCAAACTTGGTGAGAAGAATGGCCCTTGGATGCCGCGTGAAACTACGGTTGTTGCTAAGGACAAGGTCCCTCAGATCCCCACTGATCGCGCTACGATCCGCATTACTGCTCCTGCGGCTTACCGTCAGTCTTTCCGTGCTCAAGACAGTTCTGAAGAGTCGGCTTCCGATGTGGTCCGTGATCTTGCGCTTTCCAGTGGCGTTCCTGTTGCTCAGTTGCTTGGTGGCAATTGGTCGGTGCGCACTGTTGGTGAGTCGAACTCCTTGGTCGGCTTCTTGCGTGTCAAGGAAGCTACTGCTAAGCAGCTGTTGAATGCTGGTGGTATGCGTGGTATCTTCGTTGCCCGTGTGGGTAAACAAGCTGCCGCTTCTGAGTCCAAGCCCTTCTGGACGAAAAGGCTTAAAGATGAGTCTCGAGAGTCTTACTTCCGCAGAGTCCTTGGGCTCTCCAAGAAGCGAGCGCAGCCTATCATACATCGCTCAGGTGGAGGCTCTGACCTTGGTTTTCCTGCTTGGCTTGATGGTGATGCGCTTGAGGCTCGGCCTAAACACGTCCTTGTGCGTAGCGTGCCGCGTGCTTGGGTTGATGAGGACGTGGTGTCCTTCCTTGCTGGCTTGAGTTGGTCGGAGGTCAAAGTGACCTCTCGTGTGCGCGGAGTTTGGCATGTCATGGCTACGCCCCCTCCGTCTGATTTCCCGGTTTCCAGTTGGAAGTATAGCTTGGAAGGATCTGAACCAGCTTGTGTCATTGAAGTGCAGGTCGCTGAGTCTTCTGCCCGAAAAGTTGCGGTTGTTGCGGCTGTTAAGGGCCCGTCACGTCGGCTTGCTAAAGAGACTTCAACTGAAAAAGTGGTGGCTCCGGCTGCTACGAAAGTTGAGCGCGCCAGAAGTCCCGCCCCTACGCAGCTTGACCCGCCTGGTGACGGTGACGGTGATGGCCGCGGCCGTAGTCGTAGTCGTGAGCGTAAGCCTCCGAAGGAAGCGGCTGAATCCTCCAACCCCGAGTCGTCCATTGGTGCTCTTGCGCCAGAGCCGAAGAAGGCTAGAGGGAACAAGACGTTGCATGATCCTGATGCTGCTGTGCTCAGCGGTTGGAAGGTTGTCGACCTTCAGGGTGTTGGTGACTGTTTCTTTCGCTGCATGGACTATCATCAAGCACGAAGACAGAAGCCTCAGAAGCTTTTCAACAACACTGAGGCGCAGACTAAGGGCGCATGGATTCGAGCTCAGGCTAAGTTGCACGCTCAGAACCACCCGGAAACTTTTTCAGCCTTGTTTGACTCCGATGCAAAGTTTAAGAGCTGGCTCACCAAGGTGGGTAAGATGACCACTTTTGCTGAAGGAGCAATCATTCAAGCTGTCTCCGAAAAGCTTGGTTGCCCAATCGTTGCCTGGGTGAAGGAAGGGTGTTGGGAACGTTTCGTCGTCTCAGGTCGATTCGCCAGCTCCTACGCTTGTTGTGATGCCGGTCAGTCGCCAGCTGTTGTTTTGCTTGAAAACAAACACTTCACGGTGCTCACACCACCTACTGTTGACGGGGCTGAGGACACGGTTCCTTATGCTTGGCTTCGTGAGACCCCTACAATCGTCTTGGACCTTACGGGAGGTATGGTGGCCGATGAAGCGGTTGACGAACCCGCTGAGGCTCTGTGTGATGGTGAGCTTGGTGGAGAAGCTACTCCTTCGTTGCACTCGCTTGTCTTCTCGCGTGAGGGTGATGCGCGTTCTGAGGGGACTCCCTCCTTGCACACTCTCGTTCCTGCCTCCTTCGCTGCTTCCCGTCGTTCTGGTGTTCGGCCTGCTTCGGGAACTCCGTCCTTGCACAGTTGTTCTGACGCGCCCACTCCTTCGCTACACACTTTCGCCGGAGGCAGTCTCAGCTCTGCTTTTGAAGGTACAAACGGAGCTTCGGGTCAAATGAGTGTCTCTAAGGGCCCTCGGACTGAGGTTTCTTCTTCGGTTCCTACCAGTAAGAGCCGCAAAAGACCCAGACCTGAGGCTCACCCAGCCTCCCCTGCTGCCCGCGTTGGCAGAACTCTGTGGTGGACGTGCGAAGCCGAAGGGTGTAACTACAGTGTTTACAGACACCCCATTCTTCGCGGACATCAGGAAGCCCGGCGTCTGCATCTGAAGGAGGCCCATGGCATGATTGACCCGCCTCGCCTTAATGACCCTGGTCCCAAAACCCCAAAAGCTCGAACCAAAGCTGACAAGGCCAAAGCTAGGCAGGCCAGGATTGAGGCCTTGTGTGCCAAACAGCAATCTCGCGCTAAGTGATGCCTTGTTTTCTGGTCTCCCTAGGGTGAACCTTGTGTCTTGTAAACCTGATGACACTTGGCATCGGTGCGACATATGCAGTTTCGTCATCACTCATGAGCTGTCCCTTCATGCTCGCACTGAACTCAAGAAAAAGCATTACAAAGAGGTTCATGGCACTTCCGCTCCGGATCTGCGAAAGAAGGTGAATGTGAATTTGGTCCCTAAGCGTATTGAAGCTTCGCGCAAAGCTCATGACCGGAGATGGGAGCTGATGTACAAAGCCTACCGCGAAAAGCCTTGGAAGGGAGCTCACTCCATCAATTGCGAGGCTGATGCGTATGACTCGTACATTATCAAGTCCGGAGCCAAGGCTGGCCAGGCGCTTCATCGTTGCCTTCGGTGCGGGGTGCTTGTCCGTAGAAACAAGCTACCGGAGAGTGTCTGTGAGCTCGATGCCAAGAGAGGTCCCGTCCCTAGCCTTGCCCAGAGAAAAGCCCGTTGACAAGCCTTTAGGAAACAAGCTAACAAAGAGGCTGGAGGTGGACGGAAGGCTAAACCGAAAGCCGCGCGTGCTAAAGCAAAGTCGAGGGCGTCTTGACTACTTACGGAAGATCCCGCTTGTGGTGCTCGCCACACAGATGTCGAAACATTTGAAGCTCTTTCGATAACTCGTCGTGGCCTTCGGGCCCGGCGCATCGGGGAGGCTGCGCTGCCGGGTCCCCAGCCTACTGAAGCCTCCTGCAGATGCCACGGGCATAAGGGCCTCTTGAAAGTTCGTTCGCTTAACCTAAGCACTTGGCATAGACATGGCCCTCAAATGCTTGAAGAAGCTGCCAAGGCCGACGTGCATGTCTTAATTGCTCAGGAGCTCAATTTGAGCCAACAAGCGCTGGCAGGTGCTTCCCAGGAGGCCAAACGGCTTGTATGGCAAGCTGTGCTGGTTCCCAAACCAAGGTCCAGAAGAGGTGGTGTTGGTCTCTTTGTACGGCGGCCGCGCGCTTTCCTCGAGTTAGAGCGTACTAGTACTGAGGATGCACAGAGTGTCTCGGCCCAGCTTCTCGGGCTTTCTACACGTCTCATCGTGACTGGCTTGTACTCGGCCCCGAAGGCCGATCCTACCACTCTCTTCGCTCAGGCAAACCAGTGTGAAGCTCTCTCAGGCGTTCCATGGATTGTAGGACTTGACGGCAACATCAACAACATGGAAGCCGGGCAGTGGCCTGAGGCTATGCGCCGCGCTGGGGGCTTGCTTTGCGCCAAGGCTCGTCACACCAACCGAAGTAAGTATGCTATCGACGGCATTTGGGCCTCAGAAACTTGCCCCGCTACGTATGGTGCCGAAGTTGCCAACTCGGGCGGTGACCACAGCATTGCCGAAAGTCACTTTGACCTCTCGGTGCCCCCCTGTGTTCCGGAGTGGCGGTTTGCCAAACCACCCCGCGATGCAGGCGCCGATGCGGTCTTAAGAACAGCTTCATGGCAGGACTGTGCTTCCTCCAAGGAAGAGTGGACTAAGGCTCTCGACGATCTAAACGACGCTTGTAGTCTGTGGTGCAAAGACGCTCAAAAATGGCTTTCGCGGTCAGGTGGCTTAGCGGGCAGCGCCTATGAGCGCGATCTGGGCTCAAAACCTAGCCTCAGGAGTGGCAACCACAAGCTTTCTTCGAGACAAGCCATCGGCGAAAGACAACTTCGGCGTCATATCCGTAGATTGAAAGAAGCTAGGCTCTTCCAGCAGAAAGGTCTCCAGGTCCCCCTGCCCTTGCTCAAAGCCCTTTCGCATGCCAAGCTGCCTGCCCAGGAAACTAGTGATGTTCGCTCTGCTAGATTTGGTAGCGCCCTTTCCGCTGCTAGTGACAGGCTCCAGGTCCTTCTTAGGGATAACTACAGACAGGCCATCAAAACTTGGAAGGCTCGCATTCACACCACGCATGGTGCTTGCAGATGGCTGAAGCGTGAAGAAGCCATACCGAGCATCCTTCAGGACGAGCAAGGCCGTACCCTTTGTCAACCTGCTGAGGCTGTCAAGGCGCTCCACAACTTTTGGGGCCACACATTCGGGTGTGGGCCTCACCAAGGTGCAGATGTTGAGGCCTTTTGGGACCTCTTCGGTCAGTATGTTGGTCAGCCTTCGGTTCCTTTCCCTGAGCTTCCTCCGCTCAAAGGCGAAGACCTAAGGACCATGGCTCGGAAGAATGCTTCCAAAGTTGCAGGCTTAGATGGTCTGTCGCCTCGTATGGTGTCTTGGCTCCCCGACGAAGCCTTGGAGCGTTTGGCGGAACTCCTGAATGTCATCGAAACCAAAGGAGTCTTTCCTGACAACCTGAAATATTGGAAAATTGCTTTCATCCCCAAGAAACGCAAAGGCCGTATTGCGAAGTTGGGTGAAGTACGGCCCCTGGCCATAGGGCCTTGTCTCTACAGAATATGGGCATCGCTCCGTCTGCAAGCCTTAGCTCCGGCCTTGTCCACTTGCCTTCCCCACCAGTCGGGGGGGTGCCAAGGTCCTGATGCTGAGACCTTAGTTGCTAGCTTTGAGTTGGAGTTCCCTCAAACTGAATGGCAATTTGCAGCTATGCTTGACTATGCCAAAGCCTTTGACTCCTGTGACGTCGGCCTGTGCATCCGCTTGTTCGAGCTTTTGAAATTCCCCGTTGCAGTTACAAACTTGCTGCGCGATCAATGGTTTTTCCACTCGAGATGGCTTAGTTTTTCTGGTGCCACTCACCCGGAGGCTCTCTGGAACTATAAAGGTTTGCCACAGGGCGATCCTTTCGCCCCGGTGGCGTTAAGCCTGCTTCTGACGCTCCCTGCCAAGCACGCTGCCCGCTTAGCTCCTGACAGTGCCACCATTCTGTACCTCGATGATCGCTCGCTGCTGGCTAAGTCCATGGAGCAACTCGTCGCTGCTAGAGAAGCCTGGTGTCAACTCGAAACTTGCACCAGATTTCGCACGCATAACGGTAAAACCCAACTTCTTGCTCGCACTGATTCTGCTCTCGTTGAGTTTCAGCAGGCCGGGCTTGAGGCTGAACGCTCTGCGAGTATGTTGGGTGTTAGTGTCGGGCACGCGGACGGCATGACTGCTGATGAGCTTGAGAGGCAAGCTAAGACTTTGAAGCTTGCTGCCAGACTTGAGTGCTTGCTTCTTTCTCATAAGTTCAAGACCACCTTGGCTGCAACTGTCTTTTCGCCGGCAGCGTGCTGGGGAGCTCTGCCTTGTGGTCGCGAACTTACCAAGGACCAATGCCGCAAGTACCAGGAGGCCTTCAGATGTGCCGTCAAAGGCAGCGAGTCTGCCTATGACAGGGCCAGCCGACCACTTCAGCAGGTCATCACTTTGAGCCATAGGTCAGACATGCAACTGGTTGCTGCTCAGGCGGTGCTCAGGACTCTTGGTCGTTGGACTAAGGGCATGGTTAAGCGAGGCGCGGCGCCTACTGAGGTGGATGTTCGGGCCTCGGCTATCGGCAAGGCCCTTGAGAGAACCCTAGCTGCGTGGGCCTGGAGCCGTAATCCCCGTCGTTGGGGACAGTGGGGCAAAAGAGCTGCGGTCTGGAGCCTCACTGCCCCCAAGCAGGAGCAACGCAAAGCAAAGCATGCCCTGCGCGAATCTTGGAGACTCTGCAAGGTTTCTGAGTGGCTAGAGCACCCTAAAAGGAGAGACTCGGAGCTGGCTCGTAATGCCGGCGTTGTGGCCAGTCCTGCCCTAGTAAAGAGACTGCATCGCATTGCCCAAGACTCTGAGCTTGGAGGCCATGAGCTTTCGATCATGTCAGGCGGTATGTCGACTGATGCAAGATGGTGCCCGGCAGGCACCCAACGTAGCAGATGCGAGGATTGTGGACAAGATCTATGCCCAAGTGTTGATCACATCTTGTGGGATTGCCCTTGTAGCGATTATGCCAGTCTGAGGCTTTTGCCGAAGCCAAGATCAGTCATCCGAGCCCGGTTGGGCTGGAGTCCAGCCCCCCTGAGGACCATCAGAGAAGAGCTGCAGATGATCAAGCAGCTTGGCAGCATCCGCGCTGCTGAGGTGCAACGTCGCCGTCAGCGCGTCACGTGGTGCAGCCGCTCACCAATCGATGTTGTCGACGAGTCTGCAGATGAGGCCGCCGTTGGTCCTGGCCTGGCTTTTGCGTCGGTCTCTGCAGAGGTGCCTGCAGTTCTTCCTGGCCTGGCTCCCGCTACAGCTTCTGCAGATGTGTCTGCAGATCTTTCTGGCCTGGCTACAGCAGGTTTTCCTGGCTTGGCTACAGCTACTGCTTCTGCAGATGTGTCTGCAAGTCTCCCTGGCCTGGTTACAGCTACGGCTTCTGCTAAAGAGTCTGCAGTTTTTCCTGGCTTGGCTACTGCTACAGCTTCTGCGGATACGTCTGCAGTTCTTCCTGGCTTGGCTACAGCTACAGCTTCTGCAGATGTGTCTGCAGTTCTTCCTGGCCTGGCCACTGCTACAGCTTCTGCAGATGAGTCTGCAAGTCTTCCTGGCCTGGTTACAGCTACGGCTTCTGCTAAAGAGTCTGCAGTTTTTCCTGGCTTGGCTACAGCTACAGCTTCTGCGGATACGTCTGCAGTTCTTCCTGGCTTGGCTACAGCTACAGCTTCTGCTAAAGAGTCTGCAGTTTATCTTGGCTTGGCTACAGCTACTGCTTCTGCGGATACGTCTGCAGTTTTTCCTGGCCTGGCTACAGCTACTGCTTCTGCGGATACGTCTGCAGGCTTTTCTGGCCTGGCTACAACTACAGCTCCGGATGGAGCTCTCCTGGACTACGGGTAGACTGTGGCGATGGAGCGCGTTTGGGCGGCTAACCCCCTTTTTTTTGCAATTGTCAGGTTGCCGCTGAAGCGATCGATTATCACAAACTTTACCCATTCGTTGCCGTGGAACGAGTTCCAAGCACATGACCGATTTGTGAGCGACTTGTGATTAGAACGACGGTCCTCATATCCCTTCATCACCTGTAATGAATGTCTCTAACCTCCACACCGCCTGCCCTAATAAACCCTCAGCCCTAAACCCGAAGGTAACGGCGCAATTAAGCCTTAACCCTTAACTCTTGCAACTCTTCACAACCCTAAACCCGTAACTCTTGCAACTCAAGCACAGATTCGGAGGGTCTTCTTGAAAATCTGACTTGCACCACAGGGCCTCCGAACTCCCTTACTACGCTACAAGGGCTTATAGGCCTCAGGGATCTTATACCCAGCGGCTCTAAGGACTCCAACGGTAAAAGGAGGGACCCTTTATAAGGACCCGTAGGTATATACCCTTAATATAGCTAGTATATACCCATTATACAGCCCATTATAGGGTAGGGGTCCCCATTAAGGGTCCCTCCTTTTCCCCTTTGAAGGACTGGGCCCAAAGACTCCCGCATCCATCATATTAGGAAGCGTGCCGAAGAGTATGCCCCGTGGAGTGCTGAAGACACTACCGCTGCCCCACAAAAGAAAGGATGACCCACCCAAGACAGTGGACTGAACCGGTTCCTTTCGCGAGCTGCGGACCCCATGTGCTGGATTTGTGGTATCCAGCCAGCTCTTCGCTGCTTGCGAAAAGCGAGGAATTCCGATTGTTGTTTGGGCTCGTAATGAGACTGCTTTGAAAAGATGTACCATGGACCCGGACGGAAGGGTGGCCTTCTCAAGATGTCGGCTGGAGCCAAACCAATCGTGCACATGCTTCAAGATGACCATTATACCTTCCTGCAGGCCCTATGTCATAGGGAAAGTCCCGGACAGCTGGCTGCGTCTTAACGGAAAATTCCAGACCCCAAGGTCTTACAGGGAACTGGGCCAAAGTCTCGGGCTTCTTTTCTCGGGAGCAAGGACACCGGTGGAGCTCCGAAGCCCATCAGCGAAATCAAGCGACTCGGACTCGTGCTTCTTCGGCGAGCACCGTTGCTCTTGAGGGCCCCGAAGTGGACGCGCGACATGAAGTAAGGTCAGACGCCACGCCCTCACTTCACTTGCACATGGAGGTGCCCGCCAGGCGTCATACCCCCAGCAAGCGGATCTGCTCCCAGTTTCAGAAGTGCAGCTGTTCTGACGCGTTTACTCCTTCGCCACATACCGTCGCCGGCAACGGTCCCAGCTCTGCGTTTGCAGATATATAAGACATTTGGTGTATCTTGAGCCCCAGGAGAAGTAAAGTGGCTAGCTACAGTGGTATCTACGTAAAACCCAAAGTTGGGTACGCCTAACCATACTTAAAGCTGCCGTCGAACCTTCATGCAAGAGACCCGCGGGATCAGTCCAAAAGGCAACCCTAAGTAGAAACCCTTTCAGGTTACAGGATTCCTGGAAAACGAGTGTATTCGCTACCTGGACCCTACGGTTTCGCGGTTCCCCCTTATATGATTTCCTTTATAAGTCCTAAAAAAAGGTAGGTTACTTGGGGGAAAGGTATGGTTCCACCTGCCAAAGCGCAAAATGCAACACTGGGAGGACCCCGGCCGTACCTGGCCTGTGCTGCACAACGTCATGGCGTTGGCATCCCGCCTCAGAAAGTAGTGTTGCCGGTTTGGGGTTTAGGGGCTCAGGTTTCAGGGCAGCGTATAAGGGGAATCTTTAGAGTTCCTGAATAACCTACAATTCTGTTACCTATGATATAACACAGGCTAAAACTTTATTCGAAAGGGTAAACCCCTGCATTAGAATTTAGGGGGTCTGCTTGGAAAGTCCGTGGGTAACGACATGTACTTAGATCCCCAATACCTAACCTTTAAACTTTTTGAGTTCTTATAGTTTAGTAGGAATCGGAAAGTTTAACCTTTTGTTTCTGTGGTAAGGACCTAGTTGAGCCGGCCGGGCGCGGAAAGCAGATCAAAACCCCAGGCCGAATCAAGAAGTTAAGCTGCAACTTACAACTTCAAGCACAAAACCCGAAGCCGCAAAACTTATAAACCGTAGAAGCCTGTCGATTCTAACACAGAGTTCCGGCCACAGAGAATCGCAAAATCAAAGACAGGTTCGGGCACTGTGCCTCAAGCTGCACTAAGTATTTAAAACTTTGCTTAATGGTATACCTAAGCAGATTCCGGATAAGCATGTGTCGCAAGCGCTGTTTTTTTCGGGATTCCTGGCGAACTGTTGTCGGGCTGCACCTCAAGCAACTAAGTAAAAGCCTCCGGGTGCTGTATCTACCGCAGGGGATGATCGAAGTCGGTGTGTGTTTGGTCCCTCAGGGTGTATGGTACAGGGTTGGGTGACAGATTGGCTCTAGCCAGCTTGAACTCCCCAAGTGGGTTTCACTCAGGTCTTGGGTGGAAAGCACCGCTGGAACGAGATGTTGTTTCATGTTGCTTGGCAAAGTTTACTTGTGGTCCATCCGAGTTTGTTGGTGACTCAGCCATGCAGACGCATGCGATGTGTGTGTATGTATACAAGTATATGCCTAAAGACGTATGTATGTCCGTATGTAATGTAATGTAGGTTGCGTATGCATGTATGTATGTATGTATGTAGGTATGTATGTAATGTAATGTGCTAAGTTAATGTAAATTAATGTACGTATGCATGTATGTATGTATGTATGTATGCATGTGTGTATGAGCATGGATGAGTATGCATGAGTTTGTATGATATGTACGAGTATGCATGGGTATGTAAGAGTATGTAAGAGTATGTATGAGTATGTATGAGTATGTATAAATATGTATGAGTATGTATGAGTATGTACGCGTATGTATGAGTAGGTATGAAGAGTATGTAAGAGTATGTATGAGTGTGTATGAGCATGTACGTATGTATGCATGTATGCAATGCATGCATGCATGCATGTATGTATGTATGTATGTATGTATGTATGTATGTATGTATGTGTATGTGTGTGTGTATGTATGTGTGTATGCATTGATGTAGCGTAATGTAATGTGAGTAACGTGATGTAATGTAATGTGAAGTATGTAATGTAATGTATGTAGTGCATGTATTATATGTGCATATAATGCATGTATTGTCTTCGATGCATGTATTGTCTTGTATTGCTATGTGTGTAATGTAATGTATGTACTGTATGTACGTGGTACGTATGTATGTATGGGTGGATGTACTACGAACATAAAGCAGATGTATGCACAGGTACACAGACATATGTGCATACAAAACACCATGGCTGAGCATGCATATACAAGAAGGGGTATGTGTCTGGCTGGCTGTCTGTCTGCCTGTCTGTCCGTCTACCTACCCACCCACATACCCAGCCGCACACCCACCTACCTACGAGGCAGCGAGCGAGCAAGGCAGGGAAGGAGGAGTGGGTGAGTGGATGACCAGTGAGTCAAACTTCCCAAAACAACGTAAGCTCTCCGATCTAACAGAGACTGGGCGAAGTGTATATTTCCCCAGTTCGCACGTAAACCATTGAACATTGGAACTTGTTGCTGAGGATGTCCATCATGCGTTCCCTAATGCTGTGGGCACCCTGAGCCAGCGCGGCCGTTTCCATGGCTGGGCGGCTTGGCCGAGACAAGAGTGGCAGTGCCCTGTCGTCTTCTTCAACCCCATAGCCCTGATCCCTCAGCCGCCTACACAGCCCAAACCCTAAACCCTAAAGTTTAAACCCTAAACCCCAAAGCATTGAACTTTTCACATAACACACTTCCTGGAATCCAGAACCCTGGAGCCCGGAAGGTTCGGGAGTTGGGTTTTTTTGGTTCAGGGAGGGCTACATCCAGCAATTAAAGATTTGAGTCAGGCCCTGCTAGAACCAACGATATTTCGGAGATCGAGGGACCTTAGCAACAGAATGCTTAATATAAGGAGTCCCCCCTAAAACAAAACGACACTTCACTTTGAGAACCCACGCCTTGGAGGCTAATTAGGGTGTAGAGCTGTCAGAGAATAAACCCTGTTTGGTGGTAGGATTGAATACCCAAGCCTCCCAGTGTACTGTAAGCCCCTTTTCCAAGCCTGGAAAGCAGAAACCCCAGACTCTCAACCCATAAGCCCCTAACTTACCTTTGGGTACTAGGGAATGGAAGAATGGTAGTAATAGTAGTTATAATTGTACCCCATCCCTCCATTCCCTACCAACCCAAGGTAAGCTAAGCCCTAAACCATGAGTGTGCAAACCTTACAGCCTTACAAGCCTAATCAAGGCCTTACAGAAGGCCCTTCTTGAACTGTTGGCGACCTCCAAGGTATTTGGTTTAGCTTCAACCCGTACCGGAACCTTATTGCATGACAGACTATTTAAAAGAAGCTCTTGTCAAAGCCCTGCAAGGAGCCTTGAAGCCATCTTGGAGTAGCCGTACCCCTGAAAAGCATTTACCTGAAGGACCAAATGACCCTTAAAAGCAGGGGCCCCTATACCCGTATACTATGAATCCCTATATGGTATATGAACCTTAAACCCTTTTAGGGTTCATTTCGTCCTTAAGGTAGAGCCCTGAATAGTCATGCGAAGAACCTCGGGATCTGGCGTCCTCGGACTCATGCTTTTAAGCCGAAGCGCACCGACTCCAGCCTTTTTTTGTAGGACCCTTATTATACGAACCCCAAATAAGGTACCCCTACTTTTCGGAAACTTCCATCTACAAACCACTTAGAAGCCCAGCGTCGCCAAGGAGAAAGTGCACGACGCCGCTGCCGAGGTTCTTCATCGCGGCCTGTGGAAGCCGAACGGCGACCTGGCTAAGGGTTTAGGGTTTTAGGGTTTCTGGGTTTGTAGTTTTAGGATTTAAGGGTTTCTGGGTTTAGGGTTTCAGTTTTTAGGGTTTCAGGGTTTAGGGATTTGGGATTTGAGGTTTAGGGCTTTTAGGGATTTAGGGTTTA